AAATCACTTCAGAGACGACGATGTTCGGCAGTGCCAATCTTTTTCTGTACAGCCTCGAGTCAAAGTAAAATGGTACGTTCGTTTTGCTTACACAACGCGTTCAGGCTTATGGTGACGAGGTAAATGAACCGTCCAGTGCGACCCCACCCATTTCGCCGCCACCCGGAACAGACTTGTTGACCGGATAGCGAATAATGGGTAAGGGTCACTTCCCTACCAAAAAGTCTACCCGACATAGTGGCTCGAACACTTCTTCTCGTTACTTCGTGTCCTGACCATACCAACAACAGAGAAAGGAAACCACCGTTAATTGGAGCAAGTTGCCTACGTTTTCAGTAATATTGCTGACAAGTGACACAGTGCGTGCCGTTCGCACTAGGACCCAACTGATTAGAGGTAGTAACACTGAAACACGTCACAATTCAACTAGCTAGGAAAGGTTCTGCGAGCCTGCGAATAGTAGATCCTGTACCCCGCGGGCCCTGAGATAAGATTTTTCACGTACTATCTGAATTAGACAGGGAGATCCCCTTCACATGTAACTTCCATCAAAACTTCTCAAGTGTTTACTTTTGCTTTCAGTGTTCAGCCACCAGGACACCATGCACCGATATGGTTAGTTCATGACACTTGATTTAGTTTCTCATTATATAATAACAAAAAAATTAATATAATACTTGATACACTGATTTTGGCACAGTTCGGCTTGGTGGAGGCACCGGTGCTCCCCTAAGCCTGTATAAGCTACCTTGTGAAAATCTGTAAGTTCCTGTAACGGTGGAGCTGTTAGTTAAAATAATCACTTGTCTGGGAGTCCCTCACTCTCGAGAAAATCCATCCCCCGACTCGCCATATTTTTTTGCATATTTCGATGCTACTACTCTATCTCTCTTGAAAATCTATAGTGTAGCCCAGACGGTTGCGCACTAATACATTCAAGGTTGCAAGGGAGACGGTAAATCGTGGAAGAAGGGTGAATGAGTATAGCGGTGATGCCTTAGCCCATTACAGAATGCAACATTTACACCCATGAAAAGCATATCGAGCTAAAGGAGGGAGATGTTAGTTGTGTAGTCCACAATTAAGTATCTGGGAATTTCCCATTCACCCATCTTCCCGATGTTATTCGCATGAGCATGGATACACCCCTTCACTCCGGAACCAAAATACGATCCGCTTCCCAGAAAGGCTGAAATACGACTCGCTTGCTGGGATATTCTTCAACCACAGCGTGCCGTGTCCTCCGATTCCTTCAAAGAAGTTCACCACGTTCGCTAAAATTTGAGTGACCCTTTTTGGTGAGAGAATTCTCCACTAAGATCAAGGAATCAATGATCAATGAGTTCAATGATCGCTCTCCACTGGCGCCACAATATCGCATCTATGTAGTGCTTGGCCCCGCCAGGCCTCCTTTTAGTTGCAACTTCACGCACAGTGCACTAGAGG